CAAGGACAGTTTCACCTCAAACAAGGTGACGGGTGCCTGCTGTGCTCCCCTCAGAGCCGCTCTGAGAACGCAGGGACACGCTCTACCGTTCTTCTTGGTTTTCAGTTTGCCATGGACAGAAAAACTCAGAACAACTGGAGGTGCCCCGTAGCCAGGGCACATCAACCCAAATGTCCCAGGGGCCCTGTGAGCTCTGTTCCACCAAAACAAGGGGTTGCTCAGGGGGCTGAGGGCACAACAGCACGTGCCAAGGTGGCAGGGAAGCCACGTGTCCTAGGAAAGGAAAAATAAGGAATAAGGTGACTGCCAAGGAATGTCAGCAAAATTATAAATGAATGTGAAAATCAATCATTGACATATCAGTAGAAATTTCCTCCAGTGGTTCCAATCCATGGAGGTTAACATCTAGTTTGAGGGAAAACAGTGTTTTAACTCTAAGTTGTGACAAGTGTAGTGGGCACCTTCTGAACTTTTAGTGCAGTTGCTTTTTAAATATCCCCCCACACCCCATTCCTCCAGCTTAATTGCTTCAGAGTGATTTCATTACTTCTGGCTGTGGTGGTTAATTGAATTATAAAACCCTCCCAGCCAGTGGTGCTCGGCTGTTGTGCTGCTGGTGGCCTCCCCACCAGCAGGACTGGGAGGCAAGACCAGCCTCCCCAGCAGCTCCACGCTCTGGCAGGTCCCACGCAAGCTCATCCAACTCCTGTTCTAATTTAAAGTGGGAATCACTGATGAAGATCCCATCAGTTCAAATCAGAGCTGCCCTCAGGCTGCACCACCATTCCAAGAAATGGCCAGCGACCCCTTGCACCCAGACCCTTGGTACCCCAAAATCAGTGGTTGCACAAAGCCAACGGTGCATATTCCCCTCTGGCGTCTGTGCTCTGGCTGTGTCTTCTCCTGTGGCCCCGTTCTTCTCAAAGGTTGGGCAGCCCTCAGCCGCAGTCTGTGCCACTGACCTTTAAACACAGCCCTGTGGGTGGAAACCTCCTCTCGGGGGGGGGTGACCTCACCTACAGGCTGCACAGTCGCTGGGAAAAGGCAAAGGGTGTTTAACAAGCAAAGCTCAGAGCCCTGGTCTTTCTACCCAAAGGTTAAGCTCCTGAAAGGCAGATAATGACTGTTGCTTTTGGTCCTTTTATGGCAGCGTTTAGATTAGGCTGTAGAAACAGCCCGTAGGTATTTTAATGTTGAAAATAAATGAGTGTCTCTTGGTGTGGTTGGGTTAAAAATAACATCACCATGATGAAACCAAGGTGGGGAAAGCTGGAGGTGTTTGCTCGCATTCAGCTGGTGAGTTATGGGCGGGCTGGGGCTGGGGTCTAGCTCTCGGGCACCCGGGGCAATGATGGGGCTCAAAGGTAGAGCAGGTTGTGCGTAACCCAGGCTCTATGGCAATGATCACTTATCAGTGACTGCCACGCAGCTGTCTCGGTGCCCACAGATGTGTCACTCTGTGGGGGACAGGAGTGGTGGTGGTGTGTCTGCAGGAAGGACACGCTGGAGCCCCATCACAGGCTCCATCGTGTCTTATGGGTGAGACCGGGGAGCTCGCCCTGGCTGAGCATCGGC